AAAAAAAAAGTTTTGCAAGCAATCTTACTAAGAAAACTGAACACTAATATGATGAACTGAGAAAAACTGAAAAAAATAGAAAAATGTATGCCAACACTTAACAGTGCATCGGAAATTCTAAACATCTGCTGCTAAGCTGCTTTTAAAATTTTTGTAATTTTGCTGTTTAATTTATATCTGGTGTAAGTGCAAAGAAAATGAGGCTTTATGAAAAAGCTGAAAAGACAAAAATATATGGTTTATCAGGAGTGACTGCAACAGCTGCAAGCTTAATGAGAGTGTTGAAAACCTTAAGAAATCATTTTGGGCGATCTTAAAATATGAAATGTTTCAGATTTTTATGCTTTATGCAATCCAAAAATTACTTTTTATTCGAATAATTTTAACTAGTTTATTTAATTTTACTTTTGAAACATCCACTTTTAAATTCAAGAGTCTATTTGTACTTTATATTTTTGGGGATTATTTCACGTAACCTTTAAGTGCCTATACATCAATACAACAAATTTAAATATTTAGAATTATTTCAAGATAAAAGTTATGAATCAAAAGAAACTTTCAGTTTAAATTCTTAGAATATCATATCAGTTTTTGATTTATATTAATTACTTTGTACACAACTGCTCCATTTTTCTTTTTATTTCTTCAAATTGATAGAATATTCAAAACATACTCTTCTTCCAGGCTGTTACATGTTTAAAACGTGCTGTTACAAACTATTGCACTTTTGAAAATTTGCTACTTCACTTACTTAGCTTATAGTGCTTTTTGCAATCAGATCACTTTATCAAGGTCTCCCAATAGGATCAGTATTGACCACCTGGGAATGGTTGAAATTTTATAGGGGGTCAATAATGACCTGGGCATCAACAGCCAAATACATAAGTGACAATCTGCGTAGTGAAGATTCCATTGATAATAAAAGTGTACATAAATGCCAAGTTTTGGATTTTAAAAGTCTTACGAGAGAAATATTCCCAAAATAAAAATTGTTACCCAGCTAATATTGTCTTTTCCCCCTTCTCATTTAGTATAAGTAGGCTTAAGTCAAGTCGGTGATTTACAATGGGAAAAAAGGGAGGTTGTGCATTTCTGAAGGAGGTGATTTGAGAATTAAGCAATTTTATGTCAAATGTTAGAAAAATTACAAAATGTCAAATGTTAGAATAGTTTATAATCTGTGGTTTTGTTTTTGAAAACTTGTTTATATATCTAAAGTTAAAATTAAAAATAATACAAAAATAAAAAACAAACCTTTCTTAAATTTTTATTCATAATTTTAGTCTAATTTTTATTATTAAATTATTTATGCATATTTGTAGGTCACTGGAAAAATGCCCACAGGAAAAATGTTCACAGAATAATGCTCACAGGAAAAAAGCCCACACAGAAGTATGGCCACATAGAAAAAAGCTCACATGGAAAAATGATCACTTAGAAATATGCTCACATGGAAAAAAGCTCACATAGATATAGATATATGCTCACATGGAAATAAGCCCACTGATAAATAAAATACGTAGAAATATCCTTACATTAATCAATCAATAATTAATCGATATAAACATTGCATACCTACTTGAATTTTTCAAAGAAAAATTATTTAAATTACCAAAACATCTATAGTATATACAGCAATTGTGCAAGTAGTAGTAACTTGCTTTCGCACTAAATGAATTTAAGATCATACAACATATATATATATATATATCAAAAACAACTTATGAGTAGATTTAGTTGCTATATAGGATTAACAAATGGGCCATTTTGAATTAGGAAAAATAGAGGAGGAAGAAAGAAAAAATGAAACACAATATACAGCGAAAAATTATTACAATTTTAATTGTTAAAAAAATAAAATAATAGTAAGTATAAGTTACACATTTTATAATATAAACATTTAGAAGAATATGCAAATAGAAATAATTATTTTATTTAAATTATGTAAAATACCTTGTTATATATAAATCTTGTATATTTCACATAAACTTAATTTAAGGTATTTCTCCAGCCTTAGCATGCCTTCATGGTGTGGTGGTCTGCACGCTGGGCGTGTATTCCAGAGATCCGTGATTCGATTTCCGGCGAAGGCATTGCTCATTTTTCATATCTGCTGCTTCCAAAATACCTAATGTCTCTACAAACTTACTGAATATTAGCTAATAGATGTAAATATCTAATTTTATCATGGATTTCATCATAGTTTCTTACATGATTTGCGATTACCAAATGTAAGTTTTCATATTTTCTTTTTACTTCAGTATGCTCTGTATTTAGAACAGCTAGTAATAAACGTTGACAGGTTTAATCTTTTTCAGTTCGTCAAACAAAAACCACATACTAGGATGGCTACAATTAAATAATGAATTTAGTACCTTATGAAAGCTTTCATAATAATTTGTTGTTTTAGGAGATTTTTCGAAAGCTGCTTCATAATGATTCCACACTTCAATTGGAAACTATATCTAACTATACTGTGGTCTTCTAGAACATTTCCGCTCCAAACTTAAATAACTATATTCAAATATTAATTTCTATAGATACACATCAAAAGTATGCAAAAATAGAGTAAATAAAAAACAAAAATAAACTATTGGCAGTTACAGGGAAAAAAATGTTTGTACAGGGGGCAGTGGTATAAAAATATTACAGTACATGAAAAATTTTACTATAATTTTCATTCTTCTATATACTGCCTCTGAAAAGGTTAATATGAGCATTTGTCCAATAACTTTTTCAAATCATCAAATAATTTTTCTTTAAAAATTCACGTAGGTGTTCAAATTGATTAATTATTGATTGATTTGATTGATTAATGTAAGGATATTTCTATGTATTTTACTTATCAGTGGGCTTATTTCCATGTGAGCATATATCTATATATCTATGTGAGCTTTTTTCCGTGTGAGCATATTTCTAGGTGAGCATTTTTCCATGCGAGTATTTTTCTATGTGGGCTTTTATCCTGTGAGCATATTCCTGTGGGTTTTTTTTCCTAAAACCTTATTTGTATTATGATTATGTTGTATGCTGTATAGAGAAAAATGTAAGGGGTTCAGTGGAGAAAATTGTTCATGTAATAAAAAGCTTGGGAACACCTGATCTATAATAAGCAAAATTTTCCAAGACTTAGTTTCCTCTTTTTTTTTAGCTGAATTTAGTAGGGGTACTCTTATTTTTAAATTTAATGTTATATATCATAAATTTTGAAAACATTTTTGGTACTTCTTCAGGGAAGTTAAAGCAGTCACCATTCTTTAAAAAAGCTTCAGAGCTGAATTCTTCATTCACAAAGTCATGATGAGCTTCTCAGACACAGAATAATAGGAACTGCATATACTCCATGTCTTTATAAAGTCTAATATGTGATGCATAAGTGATGTCTTTTAATTAGCCTATTATGACAACGTGCTACCTCAAATTTTCATTGCTTCACGTATATTCAGGTCAATTTTCAGGTCATTCTGACCTGTGGTTCATTTCTTACAGACTTTTGAAAGTTGAACATAATTATAATCACCCTGTACATGAGAAGTATCAGCCTAAAGGAAGGGATGTTTTCATGCAGGACTTAGAGAAAAACTGATTCCGGAAACAACCTCCACAAAAGAACCAAATTGTCTGGAATCATGGATAATTGTCTTATTGCTAATTTTATATGCAAATTATCTATGTAGATAGATGCTATCCAAATGTCTTTTGGTTGCTTTTGCTAATTATACCAAGTGAAGTAATTTTATAAATGGTAGAAATGTGCAAAAACTTATATAAAAGCTTATCACAAAAGGATGCTACTTAATGTGATCACTGCTAATGTTATCTATCATATGGATATTGTTACTGCATTGCCGAAGTCCCGTCCGTTTGCATATGAAAGCATGGAAAATGAATCCCTTATTGTAATAAAAATAAATTCCGTTAATATGATCAAAATACTATACAATAAATTATTTTATTCTGAAGTAAATTAGCCAAGTAAGTTCAAAATTGAAAATTAAAATTACAAAGTGGTAGGGAATGATTCCAAATAAGAAATCAAGTAGCCAAACAGCTTAGTTTTGAGTTTAGTGGATAATTTCAAATTAGGCAAAAAAGCAAGGCTTGTAGCAGAGCTGGTGCTTATGAACCAGACAGCAGAATTTAGAAACTGCAGAGTTTACACTGGGTGGCAAAACCCCTGACACCAGCCCTGCAAGAAAACAATGTAAACTGGCATAGATTTACAATATCAATTTGAGAGCAATCAGACACAAAGCCCTCTTCCAATTTTTTTTTTATACTGAAATAAAAATTACCAGACAAAATCTATGCAAAACTAAGGTTACATTTTTTTTGCCAAATTTTAAATTTTACATTGGGGACTCTTCTTCCGATGAGGGATGCTCTTCAAGTGTTAAGATTAGGGATACAGCATCAGTCGAATAATATCCAGAAATCTTAAGAACAGTTCACAAAAAACTTGCCTTTTTCTAATTAAAACGCTGCAAAATACCTATTTATACGTTTCAAGTTATATTTAGTATATTAAATTAGTTAAATTTTCTAGCTATGTTGAAGAATTTCTTTGTCCCTCATCATTTAATGTTACCAATCAGTTAACATTACCAAAACAGGCGTGGACATATGCTCGTCACATTAAGCAGTGTCCAATGTCAATCTCAATATGAAAATATCTCAATATGAAATGAAATTCTAAAATACAAAGATTTTAAAAGCAGTTCTGTCACCTTTTTTTTCTTCAAATATTTAACAGTTGCATGTTATAACATTTTTGAAATATTTACTTGGTCGAAAAAAAAAATGGCTACACGATGTTAATAGCATTTACTAACTTTGTCTATTAAAACATTAAAAGTAAGGGTCATGCATTTCAGTAAATGGTGCAGTAGGGATTCAGCTCAATTTGCATTATTATTTTAAACCCAGATTTATATGTATAATGTTTCTCATGAAATCGGAAACTAAAAATATAGTTAAAAAGGTAAGACAAGAAGACTTACATGGGTGCACTCGTGATAGCACTATTCCATTCAACAAGCTTGCCTCCAACTTCCTTGATTCTTGAAATAAAATTATATAAAAATTATTCAAAACCAATTAAAAGAAACTTTTTTCTTGTACACTTAAAACACTAATAAAAGCATTAATAAGCTAGAGATAGTTCCCTCCTCTTATTTATAACATTTTTACTTTACCTTTTCCTTAGAAGAAACTGCTATACATTTTACACACACATCGCACATGCACATACAAAAGGGGGGGGGACACGAAAAAAGAAAAATCTTGGTAATCTTTAAAATGGTCACATTTCGAAAATTACCTTTATAATGACAATTAGTCCCTTTGTTTCTTGTCAAATGTATTTTTTAAATCAATAATGACAGAAGAACTGCAATAAACCTACACGGATGAAGCTACAGCAAAATAATCAGTGGTAAAGTTACCATTAAGAGAGGGAAGGGAGAAAAATTTTACACAGCACAGGTAAGGTAAGCCTTCAAAGCTTAGGAAGGTAACTTCATTGCAATATTGAGGTGAACTCAGCAAAGAACACTACAGTTGTCAGCTCATAACAAATAATGCCTTTGTTGGTTGGTTGGTAACGGAGGACGGGGACGCCTGATGTCTAACAGAGGTAAACAGGCATGTGTCCGCCCCTCCACTAACCAGGAACAACTCCCTGGGGCCTCAAGAGGCCGCCTCGGGAGCTTTTTTAGGATGTTAACAAGATCATTTACATGGCCATACAAGGGCAGATTGCATTCGTTTTACCATTTTGACATTTGTTGTTGCAATTTGCTATGGTAATTTTGTGCACATTCACAATAAAATTCTAATAAAAATACAAATTAAATATACAGATACAAAAATACAGTTACAAAATAATAGGATCAAAATACAGGCTCATAGGGGAAAAAAAATAAATAATAAATAAAATAAAATAAATAAAAATAAAAAAAAAATTAAGTATTATGCATATACAGAAGAGGAAATGTTAAATACATTTGATTGTACATTATTTGAAAGGTGTCTGTAATAGGGACTTATGTAAATTTTAGGAGTAGACTTATGTGTCTGAGAATGTGGAACTGCATGCTGACTTAGTTAGTGTATCATGTTCTTGAGAGTTTTGGTTAATGAGGAGAGCACAAATCTTGGCCCATTCTCTTGAGCTTGTTAACAACTTTGCAAATTGTATTTACTGCGGTTTGTGCTTTATAAGGAAGCGGTGATAAGCTTCACTATTGTTGATAGGAAGAGGGAGGTTGATTTCCTGCTGTCAGATGGCATTCAAAACATAGTGGTCTGGGGAGCCTTCCGCTCCGCAGGCGCATATGTCCGTGGTTGTTATGCCATGTCTATTGAAGTAGGTCGGGAATGGGCCGTGTCCCGTAATATAAGCCGTAAGAGGAGCTATTGCAATGTTGTGTTCAGTGCTGACTTTCGGGAGGTAGCTGTATGTACGTCTTCCAGTTGGTGTTTTATGTTTCCCCCTTATTTCTATGTAATACTTTTGTGGTGCATAAGGAGCGTCAACACTGTTAAAATAAAGAAGTATATAAACAAATAAAATAAAAGAAATTTTAAATAATAATTTATGTTTTTAATTAGCTATTAAAGGTTAAATGAAATTTACACTTCTAATAAGTGTTTAAGATAATAACAGCAAAAACAATTAAAGTGTGCCACCATATTACTTCGCATACTACTAATGTGAAATGATACGAATTCCTATTCAAATATCTTTAGGATTCAAAATTTGTAAATCTTAAAGCTTTTGGATGCTCCTTTCATAGTCGAACACGTTTATGGATAATACCAGCTACATTTTATGGATTACATAAAAATGGCAAATTCATTATTGAAATAATTTCATTAATTTAAAAAATATTATTCATTCAAGAAATAATGCACGACTAGGCATCTCTCCAATCGCAAGTGTGATGTTCCTGTTTAAGAAATTAACTAAATTATGTATTGCCTTTCAGACTTGGAAAAGGTTTGACCCCATGATGCGTTTCGATAAAAACACACAAAAACTAAAATTTTTGCACGCAACCAAGAGCAAGGCGAAAATTAGGATTTCAGGAGCTCAATACAAATTAATCATGTTAAATATAAAACTCTAAATTTTAACAACTCTACAGACATGAAATTACAGCCTACGCTTCTAATCTTGCCCCCCCCCTTTCTCACGAAGAATTATTTTGTAAAATGTTTTGCTAAAAATGACCGGTTCTCTTCAGTGCTATTCGTATACAGCATCTGTATGCATATAATGCAGTAATTATATTTGAAGTAATTTTGAGAGGCAAAGGTTTTTCAGAACCCTAGTAAAAATTTCAGCTTTCAACTATAAAGTATCACGGGGCCAAAATTTTCTACTATAGGCTAGTTTAGTAAACTCATTTATGAAGCTCCTATCATATTCAAACCATGGAACGATGACCAGTCTTCCAAGATATATATAATCTTGCAGTCATCTAATAACAAAAACAGGCATATATGCGGTAGACATTTTTTTCTCAGGAATTCGAAGTTTTTTGTTATTATCATTACTCTTATTATATTGACAAGAATATAAGAAAATTTATTTGCATTCACTACACAAGTTGTAATCTAACAGGCAGGCCGTTGATACGCGCTAACTCTACAGAAATAATAACTTTCCCA